CTTGAACTCCTGACCTCAGGTGATCCACCAGCCTCTGCCTCCCAGAGTGTTGGGATTACAGGCATGAGCCACGGTGCCCGGCCTAAAAACCCTTTTTGTTAGAGGGGTCTGGCTATGCTACCCAGGCTGGCCTGAAACTCCTGGGCACAAGGGATCCTCTGGCCTCCCAAGCAGCTGGGACTACAGGCGTGTAACCCTGCAGCTGGTTCTTTCTTTGGCTTTTTGCTGCACTTAAAATAAAATTTTTAACTCACATAGCCTGCTCTGTGTTTTCAACCTGTTCAACCGCCATTCTTCTCCGTCACCCATGAAGCTCTCCTTGCACTTTCGCCCAATGGTGGTGTGCTCTTTCTCATCCCAGGGCTTTTGCAACTTGTTTGTTTGTTTGTTTGTTTTTGTTTTCAAGACGCGAGTCTCTGTCGCTCAGGCTGGAGTGCAGTGATGCGATCTTGGCTCACTGCAACCTCCGTCTCCCGGGTTCAAGTCTTCTGCCTCAGCCTCCTGAGTAGCTGAGACTACAGGCGTGCGGCACCACACCTAGCTAATTTTTGTATTTTTAGTGGATATGGGGTTTCACCATGTTGGCCAGCCTGGTTTCTAACTCCTGACTTCCGATCATCCGCCCTTCTCAGCCTTCCAAAGTGCTTGGATTACAAGCATGAGCCACTGCTCCCCGCAGCTTTCTGTTCCTGGTGCTCTTCCTCTAGCTTTTCACATATTGGGTTCGAACTCTTTTTTTTTTCTTTGAGATGGAGTCTCGCGCTGTCACCTAGGCTGGAGCGCAGTGGTGCGATCTCGGCCCACTGCAGCCTCCACTTCCTGGGTTCAAGTGATTCTCCTGCCTCAGCCTCCCAAGTAGCTGGGACTTCAGGCACGTGCCACCACGCCCAGCTTTTTAAAATTTTTTTAGTAGAGACGGGGTTTCACCATATTGGCCAGGCTAATCTTGAACTCTTTACCTTGTGATCCACCCACCTCGGCCTCCCAAAGTGCTGGGATTACAGGCATGAGTCACTGCGCCCAGCCGAGTTCGACCTCATTCTTAAGATCTCAATAGTACTGTCACCCAAAGAGATCTTCTGTACCCTCCTATCTTTCACTGTGTATTTCCTTCACAGAACTTAAATCAGAATCTTCTTTTTTTTTTTTTTTTTGAGACAGGGTCTCACTCTGTCAACCAGGCTGAGTGCAGTGGTGCAATTATGGCTTACAGCGGCCAATCTCCCAGGCCCAAGTGATTCTCCTGCCTCATCCTCCTGAGCATCTGGGACTACAGGCACACGCCACTACATGCGGCTAATTTTTAAAAAATCTTTTGTAGAGACAGAGTCTTGCCATGTTACTTAGGCCAGTCAGAATCTTTAATTACCTTGTTTACTTTCTAACTTGTTTATTGTCTGTTTTTCCCATTAGAATGTAATCCTTATGGCAGAGATAGTTATTTACAACTAAAATCCCTAAAGTTCAGCCCAATGTCTGGCTCATGGTAGACATCTGATAGATACTTATTGAATGAATGAATATTAGAATGGCAGGATATTCTGTCTGCCTGATGCTATGTGACTGGAAAATAAAGCTGGAAATACAGTTTAGGGTCTGCTATGCTAAGGATTTTGGAATTGATGCTATAAGCAAGAAATTTACCTATTTCAAATATTTGAGTATTCATGGTTTTTAATATTTGCAGATAGTCCCCATACTAGTTTTTGCTTATTTTTCCTTAGACTGACTTTAAACATAAATGTATACTGAAAGGAAAATCAATATTTTTCTACTACAAATTCAGATAAAAGCACAACTATTAAAAACTGTTTGCCCATCTATCATCTAAAATCATCTCAGGAACACATATAAAACTGGGAAATGGTAGGCCAGGCATGGTAGCTCACGCCTGTAATCCCAGCACTTTGGGAGGCCGAGGCGGGTGGATAGTTTGAGTTCAGGAGTTCAAGACCAGCCTGGGCAATATAGCAAGACCCATCTCTACAAAAAATTTTTAAAAAATTACTTGGGTGTGGTGGTGTGTGCCTATAGTCCTAGCTACTCTGGAGGTTGAGGTGGGAGGATTCCTTGAGCCTGGGAGGCGGGGTTGCAGTGAGCCAAAATCACACCACTGCATTCCGGCCTGCTCATTAGAGTGAGACTCTGTCTCAAAAAAAATTTTTTTTTAAACTCTGGGAAATGCTGCTAAAGGTAAAGATAGTTCAGTGATGGCTTAAGCAAGGGAGTATCACAGTCGTAAGTATTTTATAAAGAAATATGACAGTAGTGTGGAGGATGTTAAGAATGGAGGTGAAGACCAGCTAGGAAGCTATTATAGTGATTCAGTCTGGAGATGAGAAAGGACCAAACCTAAACTAAGGCAGTAAATATGGACAAAACATATTAGGAGGTAGGCCAGGCACAGTGGCTCACACCTGTAATCCCAGCACTTTGGGAGGCCGAGGTGGGCGGATCACCTGAGGTCAGGTGTTCGAGACCAGCCTGGCCAACATGGTGAAACCCCATCTCTACTAAAAATTTAAAAATTCGCCAGGTGTGGTAGTGGGTGCCTGTAATCCCAGCTACTTGGGAGGCTCAGGCAGGAGAATCTCTTGAACTCGAGAGGCAGAGGATGCAGTGAGCTGATACTGCACCATTGTACTGGGCGACAAGAGCAAAACTCCGTCTCAAAAAAAACAACTTATTAGGAGGTAGACTCAACAGTAGTGACTGATTAGATTATGGTAGAGAAGAGTTGAGGGCAGATCTGAGGTGTGTGGCTTAGGTAACAGCATAGATAATAATTCTAATAATAGATCATCCGGGCGTGGTGGCTCACACCTGTAATCCCAGCACTTTGGGAGGCCGAGGCAGTCGGATCACCTGAGGTCAGGAGCTCGAGACCAGCCTGGCCAACATGGTGAAACCTGGTCTCTAATAAAAATACAAAAATTAGCCGGGCGTAGTGGTGGGCGCCTGTAATCCCAGCTACTCGGGAGGCTGAGGCAGGAGAATCGCTTGAACCCAGGAGGCAGAGGTTGCAGTGAGCTGAGGTCACGCTATGGCACTCCAGCCTGGGGGACAAGAGCGAGACTTTGTCTCAATAATAATAATAATAATTTGAATAATAGATCTAGAGAGTCAAAGAGGAATCAGTAGGGAGAAATGTATTTTATTTTGGATATGTTTCAAAGGGCTTTTGTCATATTCAGGTGGTCATGTCCAGTATGTGGAAAGTAAATGTAAAAGCTTAAAACAGGTTGGGGAGGAAGAAATAGATTTGAGAGTCATGTGTATAGTGGAGTTCAAGCCACCATAATGGGTGAGATTGCCAGTGGGAGTAGGTAGAGTTGGGGAGAAAGGGCCAAGGACAAAGTCCAGGTTAAATGTCTGCAGAAAGGGAGGCAGGCTGCCTTGTGCAATCATTTCTACCACCCCAAAAATGCTAATAAAAATTCTTTTTTTTTTGAAGACGGAGTCTCGCCCTGATGTCCCAGGCTGAAGTGCAATCAATCTCGGTCTACTGCAACCTCCGCCTCCCAGGTTCAAGCGATTCTCCTGCTTCAGCCTCCCAAGTAGCTGGGATTACAGGCGCCCACCACCACGCCCAGTTAATTTTTTATTTTTTTTAGTAGAGATGGGGGTTTCACCACGTTGGCCAGGCTGGTCTCGAACTCCTGACCCCGTGATCCACCCACCTCGGCCTCCCAAAGTGCTGAGATTACAGGTGTGAGCCACTGCGCCCGGCCTAAAAATTCTTATTTAGTATACATGTAAAAGAACAGGGACGTTTTAGAGCTTCTCTAATATATAGGTCTCAAGAAAGAGTCAGTCTGGCTCACTAGACAAAAATCTATTTTTAATTGTATAAAATTATACATATAAAATACATAGAATGTACTAAGAAGATGAGTAAAATCTTTGACACCAGAAGTGGACAGATCAGGAAACAATTTTTCTCAAGTTATTTGGGATCTTACTGGTTGGTATTTGAGAAACATAATAAATCCAGGAGGTACGAGGACAATTCTTCCCACAACTCACACCCCTTAACCCATACTTCTTCCCAGAGAAGGGAGCACAGGAGAAACAGGAGTGTTGACGAGTGCCAGCTTATAAATATCAATACAAACAGACACACCTGGTATGTCTAGCTGTTTTTGCCTTTACTCCAACCCAACGTGTTTCATGGAATACAAAGATGGGGCTTCTATCCCAGCTCTCTTCTGATTAGTAAGAAAAAAAAAAAAAAAATGATAGGGCCTGCAGAATTCAAGGAAGCCCGTTTCAAGCACTAATAAAATTGTAGCTGGATTCCTTACCTCTTATCCAA